ATAGCAAGGGTCCAATAATGGTGTAGGTGGATGGGGCTTGAAAAGACCTTTCCAACGATATATTATAAGCCCAATTCCGATGAATAGTGAGGAAGTTATGACCAAATTACTAAACTGGGCCCGGTTTAATACTTATATGCGGCCCAATGATCCAGAGGAGGGCCTAATATGGATTTATCATTCCTAGTGCAATTAGAATTGATTTTAGTCTTCTAGATTCTTCTAGAAGGTTCTTTTCATTCCTTATTCAATTAGCATTGATAAATTGACTTTGGTTGACTTTTTAGAGTTTTAATCAAAATAAAAGAGTGTTTTTAAGGAAAATATGATTTTGCCCTTCTGTAAGGCTAAATTTTATCTAAATTAAGAAAACACGTGAAAATAATAATTAGCGCCTGGCGCTAATGATTGGCGCCTGACGCTAATCTGTTTTAGCCTCGTCGAAACTCTGATTTGTTTTTCTATCCGTTTGGCTGATTTTCTCGTTTTTCATCAACAACTCTCTAACTCTCTTCTCTCTCTAAGCTAAAGTTTATTCTCTCTCTCTCTCTTTTCTAAATTAGCGTTCTCTCAAACAAAATTCCGCATTCACAACACCTAGAAACACCTAGCATAGTTCGAAGTTGCCTTCGCCCTAGACTTGAAAGGTTTTAATTTTTGAGGGTTTGGTCCCCAATCTCTCTTTCAATTATTTAATTTAAATGTTTGTTTTATTATTTTCCTTGAAGTTACTAACGTGTGTATTTTGTTATTAGAAAGAGGTATGCGGCATCCAAGTAAGTGATTTAATTGTTTACATTGTTATTATAATATAGAAATCATGTCTAGGTTGTTATTATGATTCCTAGTGTAATGTTAGGATGTTTTATAAGTTCTTAGTATCATGTTTAGGGTAAAGAATATATTGTCAATTATGATTTCTATGATGCTTCCTATTTTCTTCCTAATATTCATGTTAGTATCATGTTAGGGCTATATATTTGATCTTTATTGTTTAGTGACATGCTAGGATTTGTTATTAATCTTGTTAGTATCATGCCTAGGATCTTGCTATTATTATGCTTTAACATGATTCATGATTATTTTTATAATTGTTTTGATTATGATTATAATTTTATTAATATTATTATTATTATTATTATTATTATTATTATTATTATTATTATTATTATTATTATTATTATTATGTTGCTTGATATTTATATTATTTGTTATTGTTTGATCACGCCTTTATGCATGTTTAAAGGGAATTAGTATATGTAATCACGCTTAATAAGATAATTAATAATCTTGTTTAGGGTAATTTGATTATAATTCAAGTGATCGCCAATAATAGTTTTATTTGTGCATTAATATTCAACCAACATAGATAAACAGGTTTAGGGTTTATCCTATTGATTTCATGTTAGTCAGAAAGCGCACATGAATACGATCAGAATAAAATAGAGGCCTATTATTAGGGCAGGTTCAATCTCTAGGTTGGATTTGTACCTTCATCCCTGAACTACCAGTCATGGTTCCAGACCTATTGGAGTTGACGATCTCTTGGATCGTGAAGGGGTGTAACCTTCACCTCGTGAACGGTTTACAAGTTCCTAAAACTTGTTGGCGACTCTTTTTCTCTATCTTCTTTCCCTTTGGACGCCACCATGCTTAAGTGTATGATTACAGTGATATTTTCATTCATTTTTTAATATGGATCACATTAAATCTTCGTAATTAATTTTGATCACACTACAAATTTTAATTATATGTACTGTAGTGTAGGTAGCACTACCTACACCCCCACTATATATATTGTATCCCCTTTTCTCAAAAAACAGGGTGTTACAGTTAACTTTCTACCCCAAATAATATAAGATAGAAGCGTTATTTTCCCTCTTCTAAAATTAGTATACACTTTTAATCTTCACTCTCATCAAAATCTGCAAAAGCATTTACTTGAAAACTCAAAATTCACTATGAAAATCAAGCACGATGTTTGATACGTTGTATAAGAGTTGAAGTCACAATTGCAAGGATATAAAATCAAATTGTAAATTATTTTTGGAAGAAAAAAAGTACAAACCGTAACTTTTTTCCGTATTAATTATTCAATTATTTTCTTTAAATATATAAGAATTTCGATAGTTCTTGAATTCTTATACTTTTATCATAAATTAAAGTGATGTATTGTAATTATATTTAAATAATGTTTGGTATACACTCTTTTGTGTTGAATTAATTTATGGTGTGTTGTTTGATTACAACATTATTACTAGACATAAAAAAATTGAAAAAAAGTTTAATTGTCCTTATTTTATTGATAATTTGATCTATTTTGTAAAATTATATAAATGTAAATTTAGTTCGTAGTGAAAATTATTTTTTATGAATGTTCATTTTCATTTACATAAATGTCATTTATATATTAGTAAGCGGTCATTCACATATTAATAGACAATCTTCAAAATGAATTCTAATAGTAATAATGTCTATTTTTGGCCGATTTCTTCACATATTTTCTATAGGTAAAATTAATTTAGTTCATAGTGAAAATTATTTTTGATGCTTGTTTGACTTTAAACACGTATTCATGTTCATAATGAAAGATGTTCATTTATATTTTAATAACTGTTCATTTTCATATTGAACTGCATATGATCATTTTCTAATAATGGGTTCATATTTCTATGTGTAAATGTTTATTAATGGTTTAAAATATGATCTCTTACTACACAGGATAATTATATAATATAAGAAAGTAGAAGACAATGCTCGATGTATATATTGAGAAAGGATATGTATAAAAAAAAACAGCTAGCACACAAGGAAGATGATTTTATATACCTGTTATCTATAAGAAATGTATTAAATGACAATGTCATTTTGTAAGATACATATATGTACATCTTAGAAGTTTAAAGTTTCACTTTTAATTACAAACTAAGATGTGTATTAATATATATATAGGTAATTGAAGTTCATTTTTATTTTGATATTATGTTTATATTTACAATAATATATGTTCATTTACATATTGGTAAATGTTCATTCACATATCAATCAATAAATCAGTCAATCAAAGTCTTAATCCAAAAAGTGGGGTTGGCTAACATGAACCAAATTTGATTATTCCTTGTAGTCATCAACATAAATCTTTCTCCTCCATCCCTTACGATCCAAAGCTTCATCCTCATGTAAATCCATGCACTTTATATCCTTCAATTCCTAACTCCTTCCAACCAAGTCATTTTTTGTCTCCCTCTCCCTCGTTTAATCCTTCCATGGTCCCACTCTTCGCACTGGTGCACCTTCGGGTCTTCGTCTACATATCCAAACCAACGCAGACGATTTTCCCTTAAATGTTTATGCACATAATGTTTTGATAGATGTTTATTAAAATTTTATTAAAATGTTAATTACATTGCACATTAAAGAATATTCATTCAAGTTAATTAATTGTTCATTTTTATGTTGTAAAATGTTCTTTGTATATTAATACCACACATTATACATAAGAGACGATGTTCATTTTAATAGACAAAATTTGACATTTTGGAAGCTAAATAAATGCTTATTTCTATTTTATGAACTTCATTCTAATATTGGTAGCTAGATGATACAAAACATCTTGAGTATGCATATGATATTTCTAATATTGATTGCTCTTCCTTATAAAAAGTAAGCAAGTCATTAATGATCAATAATAAAAAAATCCAATGCTCATATTAGAAAAGGCAATATGACCAGAAACAGAGACTATTAAAATGAAGGAAATCAGAGACTAGTGTGTGACGATGAAGGAAATCAGATACTAGTGTGTGACGATGAAGGAAATCAGAGACTAACCAAGAAACAACCGGAGCAAGGGAAAGAAACAGACCAGAAACAAAGGCCGGAGGAACAGAATCAATTTGGTTCCTGGATGTTAGTGCAAAGGACTACTAGGAAATACAACAATAGACCAAAGGAGGGACCAAAACAGGTTGAAAATAACAAGGTTCGTGAACCAAATAAGCAGGGAACCCAAGCGATAGCTCGAGAAACTAGACAACTGTCTAGTGGCAACATAGGAACCACTTACAGAGTTAAGCAGGGATCGAACCCAGGGAAAGCGAGTGAAGAAAAAAAGAAAGATCATGATTCTGCTTCTGGGTCCAGGTTCAATGTTTTGGAGGTTGAGCAAGATATGGAAAGTTCAGATTTAATGCCCGAACAGAATAACAAAATAATTGTTGAGGATATTGATGAAGAGATGGTTTCCCTGGATAGTGTCAATCACTTGGAGAATGTTATTAATTTGGGAGGAGAAGATTCTCTGGGAAATTCTATGAGCTTTCAAATGGAAAAATCCCAAGGTGGGATGGAGATAGACTTGGAAAATCAATCAGTAGAAGATTTGGGTTTATCCTTAAGGAAAGATGGTGATTTGAATACCAAAAAAGATAGAATTGCTGAAAATAAGAAAGAGGATTTTTTGAATGGTAGATCTTTTGTTAAAGATTCTTTACTAAATTCGATATCAGCATCCCAATCGAATTTTCTGAGGAATAAGGAGAATATTAATCCCCTTGACCCAAGGTATATTGACAGAGGAAATCCAAAGTCACCTACATTTATTAATCACCCTGTGAATTTAAATGTGGAAGTAGATACACGAACTCCCTCAGCACCCAAGACTCAGCTAAACAATCATAGCCATGAGTTATCCCCAAATTCCAATTACTTTGGAGATGGTGGCTCCCCCGGCATACACAGCGTTTATAGACTACCAGATGGAGGGGCCAACTTGCATCAAAGTTCACCCAGTAGTGAACAGAGCAGAACTCCAAGTGAGTTCACTCCTGCCACCGAATCACAACCCTCCGGAGATGATGGCAACCATAGATATTCCACTGAGAACGAAGGGACCAATGTACGCGTTGAGGGACGCGTTCATGAAACTTCTGCCTAAGGCTCCTTTGAGACCTTATGATCGCTTCCCACACTTTCATAAGTTTAATATGTCTATAAAAATCATGATATGGAATGTTCAAGGAGCGGGGAATAAATTAGCTGCTATTAAGGAGCTAGTTAGGATCAATGACCCTACTATGTTAGCATTGGTAGAAACGCATCTTAGTGGAGAGCAAGCTCAAAAGGTGTGTGATAGAATCGGTTTCTCGGGCCAAACGAGGGTTGATGCGCAAGGATTTAGTGGTGGAATTTGGTTATTTTGGAAGAATGATGAGATAGAAGTAACGGTCTTAGATAATCATTCTCGGCATATTACAGTGGAGATTGCTAGAAGAGGTGAGGAACCTTGGGTTTTTTCAGCCATATATGCGAATCCGGACTTGACTTTAAGAAAAGATTTATGGAGAGAAATGGAAAATTTGAAAAATTCAATTAATGGACCTTGGTTATTAGGGGGCGATTTTAATGATACTCTTCATATGTCCGAGAGGTCGGGTGCTGGTGGAAGTGAGATGATTCGGCGGTGTCAAGAATTTAGTTCATGGGCTGACGATATGCAGTTGATTGATTTGGCATGCTCAGGACCAGAACATACTTAGTGCAGGGGGTTATCAGCTGCTACTTTTAAGTCAGCGAGATTAGACAGGGGATTTGCAAATGAAGATTGGAGATTAAAATTCCCCGAAGGGGCTGTACGCAACCTCCCTAGATTCACATCGGACCACTGCCCAATTATTATAAGTAATACTGGATTCGCTCCGATCTCAAAGGCTTTGAAGCCCTTCAGATTCCATGCTTCTTGGATTCACCATGAAAAATTTGAGGAATTTGTCAATTCGAATTGGAACAATGATGTCCCTTTGATCCCTTTTCTCCCAAACTTTGCTGAGAAATTGAGTGAATGGAATCGAGATGTATTTCGAAATATTTTTAACAAAAAGGCATAACTTATGGCCAGAATAGAAGGGATTCAAAAATCCTTATCCTCTGGAGGGCCTCGACACCTGATCAAATTAGAAGATAAGCTGAAGAAGGAGATGAATCAGGTTCTTGACGAGGAAGAGACATTTTGGTTCCAAAAATCGAGAGCAGATGCTATACGTGATGGAGATCGAAATACAAGATACTTCCACCTCTCAACCATTGTTCGACGCAAGAGAAATAGAATTGAAACGCTGAAAGGTGTGGATGAGAGTTGGGTGACTGATCAGGAGCAAGATACTTCCACCTCCCAAACTTTTCTTGTTTTGTAGGTATAGTTTTTTTTAATGCTTTCTTGTTTTTTGTCTTGCGTTTTTTCTTCCTAGTTTGTTCTAAGGTTTTTCTTTCCTTCTTTGGGGCTTGCCCCTCGGCTTAACCAAAAAAAAAAAAAAAATATGATCTTAAACAAAAACCTAAATGTTCAAACCGACTTCGTGATAGTCTTTCGACTGCCCAAACAATAATGTTCACTCTTATGTTTATAAAACAATTACATGTAATAGTGTAGCTGTATGGAAATGCGCTAATATTGTAATTAAATTGAATTTATTTTATATTGAAAATTGTTTTTTAACAACGTTTTATTTATACAAATACAATTCTAAAACGTATGTATTTGCATACATCTTACTATAAAACTTATACATATATAGCTTTTGAAATGAACATTTGATGATACAAAAATGAAAATATGTTGAAACACGAATAAACAAAAATGAACATTGGATGATGCAATACTTCTAATAATAAAAATGATTTGAATGCAACAATCCTTATAAATAATTTTTCTCTCATTTTTGTTTATAAAATATTCTTAAAATTCAATTCAGAGAATATATTAATTTGAACAAAAACTCCTTGTTATAGAATGAACATATAATATTTATAAATGAACATTTACCAATACAGAAATGAACATATTATAAAAAATTTACAAAAAATTCATAAATGAAAAGGGGTGGGGGCAGGGCAAGCGCGGAGTGGGGAGGGTGTAGGCAATGTTCCCTGCCGTGGGGTGTATGTAAAAATTTGTATTATAAATTTATGATGAGCTGAGACAACGCCAAACCGGGCAAATAATTAGTTTCTTTTTAAAAAAAAAATCTATAGTGTTAATGTAAGGAATATTTCAAGCATCCAAAACTTAAACTCCACTGTGATCATAACTTAAGCATGGTGGCGTCCAAAGGGAAGGAAGCTAGAGCAAAAGAGTCGCCAACAAGTTTTAGGAACTTGTAAACCGTTCACAAGGTGAACGTTACACCCCTTCACGATCCTAGAGATCACTAACTCCACAGTGGTCTGAAACCATGACTGGATATTCGGGGATGAAGGTACGAATCCAACCTAAAAGAAATTGAACCCGCCTTAAAATAATCCTCTACTTATTCTTTCATATTCATGTGCGCTTTCTGACTAACATGCAATTATTAGGTTAACCCTAAACCTATTTAATCTATGTTGGTTGAATATTAATGCACAAACAAATCTATTATTGGCGATGACTTGAATTAAAATCATATTATCCTAGACCAAATTATTAATTATCTTATTAGGAGTGATTTCAAGTATAAATTCCCTTTAAACCTGCAGAAAAGGCGTGATCAAGCAATAACAATATAATATATATCAAGCAACATAATATTATCAAATATAATCATGACAATCTCAATCTCAATAAAGCTTAATAATAATAGCAAGATCCTAGGCATGGTACTAACAAGATTAATAACAAACCCTAGGATGTCACTAAATAATAAAGAACAAAGCTTGATCCCTAACATGATACTAACATGATGTAAGAAAGGATAGGAAGCGATATAAACATAATACTAGAAAACAATAAAAAAAACATCCTAACATGATACTAGGAATTAATAAAATCTAAGCAAGTTTTCTACATATTGGACCCTTATCATGGACCAAACTAAATTGGACTGACTATTTTCATAAATAGAGCAAACAAAAAGAAGGAATTTTAATAAAATAACCGCATCACTAGACTTTTCACACTTTCACTTTGTTCAATAATCAAATGACATAAAATGTATTTATCACTGAGTTTGGTTTTTGGGGAGACACATTTGGGTGTCTATAGTTAATAATTTTGCATTCATCAATAAACGCTTATTAATCACAACCACAACCATTAAAAACAAAAAGGTCAATAAATATTCCTCTAAAAAAAGACAAATGAAACAAATTTTAGAAAAATAGTTGTCAAAGGTTTTTTCTAATTGATTTTTTCCATTAATGATATTTTCTCCATCCTACATTGTTTTTTCCCTTCTTTTATCCAACCTTTAATTAATTAATTTTCCTCTTTTGACAAATTTTGTCCCATCATTTTGTGTCATTGTTTCTCTTTTCTCCTTGATGTTTCATTTAAGTTGCATTTTGTTTACAGATTGATCAAGCAGAAAGCTCCTTTAATTTGATGGTATGTCGTAACTCTATATTTTGTTCTAAGATTTTCATTTTTCTGCATAACAACAATTAATTTAAGTATATGTATAGCACATTTTGCATGTTTATTATTTATTTACATGATTTTTGAAACTTGTCTTTGATCAATTAACTTGTTAAATATAGAAGGCAATGAATGGGGTTTGCATAAAATTTTTAACCTAGTGAGAAACGCAAAGAATGGAGTTTTTAATTGTCGTATTCATTTCTTGTAAAATATTTATAATCTTTTCATCTTATGAGAGATAGTAATGTGCAAAGTTAATAAGAGAATTGTTTCAAAAAAAACAAAAAAAAAAAAAAAGTTAATATAGAGAATGGAACAATCTAATATATATATATACTTCCTCCGTTTTTCTTTTATTGCACCATAAGGACTTTTACACTATTCACTTAATCTTCTTTGACCATCTTTTGTGATTTATCCATTAGGAAAAACATAGTCATGTAGGATCTAGTTACATTCGTCTTGAAATCTACTTTTAAAATATTAATTTTTTAAATTTTTTACAAAAGTATAATTAAATATATTAATAGCCGAAGTAATGCATTGGCAAGCGTGAAACCCCTTATGGTGCAATAAAAAAAAGAACGGAGAAAGTATATATATATATATACATATATATATATATATATGGAGTTTTTCCCCGAGTTTTTAGAGAGCCACGTAGGATTTATTTTTCTTAGCGCGCCATGTAGGATTTTGAATTTAAGTTGTAGCCAATTAAATAAGAGATTATTTATTTATTTTACAATTAAATAATTCAAATGCCACGTTAGCAAAATTGACGAATGAAATTTTAAACTTTAAATTAATTAAATACAAAATATTATCTTTTGAAATTAGAAATTTTATCTAATATTTTAAAGCTAATATAATAATAAAAATCACATAAATGTGAAAAATATTTTTTTTAAAAAAAAATATTGACAAACCGTGCATCGCACAGGCTTCATCTAGTTAGAATAATAAAATGCAATGCACTCTATAATGCGCAATTTCCAGAGGGTTTTTTTGTTTTTTTTTTTTTGGTGTATGTAAATGATGTTTTTGCTTAATAATCACGCAAGCAATCCCTTGAATAATTCCAAGCGACACGTCGTGCCACGCAGGATTTATTTGATATATTTGTTGTAGAATAGAATAAAAAAAATTAAATAGATTTAGATAGATTTTGTAGGATAAAAAAATTATTTTTGAAATCTATTTTCAATAAAATTTGGTTTAAAGATTAAACTTTGGGTTAAGAATTATATACTCGATAAAATTCAAATATTTTATATGTAGTATGTACAAGTGAGTAGTGACCAATTCATAACAATCTCCCGTTATCTCCCATATGGGTAGCTGTACTACCAGTTTGTCAAACATGAGCACAATTAAAGACGCTAAAATCACAACATATCCTAGAAATTTCATCCATTAATATGAAAATAGGTTTAACTCCATATTCATTTATTCTAATTGCTCTAACCATGCTACTTCTCTTACTTTCGAGAACTACTCGATAGCCCAAACTATTTCCTAAAATCACCCATATCTTTATGAGCGGTAATAATTCAAATAACATAATTATCTAAAAATTTAACAACTCGAGCATCGCACGGGGCACAAAACTAGTATCTTATAACTCAGTAACTTTTTCATTATAAAATTTGTTTTAAAAAGTTTCTTAAAATGAGATCTATTTATAATATATTTTAATAAAAAAAAATCAGTATTTAAAAATAATTTTGTTTTGGTATTCAATTCATTTGAAGTACTTTAAGTGCAATAAAAAATGTCAAGTTAATAGTGACATAGATTTCTATTTACAAATAAAACTACAAAAAAATACACTATTATATAATTATGTGATATGATATTGTATATCTAAATATTTTACATTATCAAAAGGGGCTATTTGATTGTCTTTAACATTCAAGCTATAAAGTTTAGACAATCTAGGCATCGTCCGGGCACAAAACTAGTAACTAATATATAAAGCTAAACTTTTAGCCAGGCAGGAGAAAGGGACCCTTGGCGTTTCAACTTTTCGGCAACTGTCGCACCACATAAGAAAAATTAAATATTAATATGACATGTAGGATTTATTTAGATATATTTTTTACTAAATAAACAAGTTGTATTTTTTAGTTAGGATAAAAACTTTGATAGATTTTGTAGGATGAAAAAGTTAGTTTAGAGTATTATTTTCAATAAAATTGTTATAGATTTACATGATAAAATTGTTGGTTTAGAGTTTTATTTCTGATAAAATACCAATATTTCACAGGTATAGAATAAATGATAAGTTTAGCCAGACCACGAGACACTAACTTAGGCATTTCAACTTTTCACTAAATGTTGCGTCACATAGACAACAATTAAATAATTTATCATCTAAATTTATTTTTATATCATAATTTTTTTTTGGAGCGAAAAAAGTAGTTCAAAACGTACAACATTCATTTATAATATATTCTAATCGATTGAAATAAAATACTTCACAATTTAATAAGACTTTATTATTGTATATAAACATGACAATCGGGTCGGAGCACAGGTTATTTTCAGTCGAGTCACTTCGGGTCACGGGTCTAGAAATGTTCAAAGCTAGACCAAAGTTTTGGGTTCGAGTCTCAAAGACGAGTTCATTTTTCTACCTAATTCTATTAAACGAAACCCGTGCAATGCACGTTTTGTTTGAATTTGGTATGCGTTTAACATTATTTTAAACTCGAATCCAAAACAACGCATCTTGTATGTGGCTAGCCATACCATGTGGCAGACTAACAACTTGTAAAAGTACAAAATTACCTCTATAACACTTATTCAATAACCCGTTTAATACTAACCAAGTAACCCATATATCTCTGATTGAGTAACTGTATAACTCTGACGAAGTAAACCCTTGTAACATTTACCGAGTAACCCTTATAACTCAACCAAAGTAATCCCCATGATGGCTGGCCACAAAGTGTGACCGGCCACATATAAAAATTTGTGTTATCCAATGTCTTTCGTATGGGACTATTGTTTTCAGATGGTGAATCTTTGATCATTTAAATGCTACATTCTTCATATTGATGTAGCACAGCCTTAGTTGTACAATGTAACCGAAAATGCATTCTAACTTCAAGTAAATTTTACAGGGAGTTGGACTTTCAAAGACTATGTTCATCTACAAATATTTATGAAAGTTTCATCCTTCATGGTACACTCTATGGGGCTAATGATCTCTAGTTGTTTTTGTTTCCGAGGCCACAAATCTGTCTTCTAGAGATCACTTGGCTTTGCAGAGGGAATGAAGATCAGAAGATGTGGATGTTAAGTTTGTAAAGTCTATAGGAGATGGACTCAGAACAAGAGATCACGATGCAAACTCCATTTTCCTGTAATATGGAAAATGTTGATGAACCTGCTAATGCTGAACAACTTGATTCTAAACAATTGACATATTCTCGAATACTACATCAGACTACTCCAAAAATACCATCCTCATCATTAACACCCAAGATGCGAGATAATAAAAGTTTGGCTGCAGTAAAATTACAGAAAGTGTACAAAAGTTTTCGGATCAGAAGGCAGCTTGCAGATTGTGCTGTGCTTGCTGAACAAAAATGGTATGATTGCTTATTTTATTTTCTTTAGGTCATCAAAGCTGAATTTATTTTGTCATTGACTCATTGTACTAGTTATTCAAGTTTGAATCGACATCATAAATTGTACGTAACATGTTAGTCGCATTCTTATATGCATAACTGTCAACCTGCATTAGCCAAGAAACTGCTAGCATCTTAAAATGATGTGTTAGATCATTATATCATTTGATTTTTCAATGAACTTCATGCATCAGTTACAAATGCCTAGCATCAAGAAGGTTCCACTGTATATTAGTACCAATATATTTTCGAAAACAAAAGTTAATTAGTTTAACTGAAGTCTCTATATGATCAATGTAGGTGGCAGGTCCTAGACTTTGCCGAACTCAAGCACAGTTCTATATCATTCTTTGATATAGAGAAGCCTGAATCTGCTCTTTCGCGATGGTCAAGAGCAAGAACAAGGGCTGCTAAAGTTAGTAATCAAGATTTTTAACCTTGGTGTATATGCATTATACTTCAATGGCTCAATTCCTAGCACATTCAGTTATTCTTGTTTCTTAATCCATATATTCATGATTTTTTGGCTTCACTTAGGTTGGTAAAGGCTCGTCTAAAGACTCAAAATCTAGGAAACTTGCCCTACAACATTGGCTCGAGGCTGTGAGTTCAATCTTATTCAAAAACTTTTTTTCCACGTTTCAGACACATACATCATATACTCATCAACAACACAAAGGTTGGATCTTTTCGAAACTTCTAACACAGTCCTTTCTTTATCGATAGATAGATCCTCGACATCGTTATGGACATAACCTACAATTTTACTACGCAAGGTGGCTTCATTGTGACAGTAATCAACCATTCTTCTATTGGTACAAATTCCATGTTTAACACAATTTCAAAAAGTACAACCATATTCAAGGTAGATTCATGACAAACATAATTTGGCTGTTTGAACTAGGCTTGACATTGGAGATGGAAAAGAAGTTGACCTAATCGACAGATGCTCACGATCACGACTTCAACAACAATGCATCAAGTACCTAGATCCAGTGAGTTGCTTTTCCTTAACTTCTCTAACACCTTTTTTACGATTATTTCTTCTTTACAGTTTCCAGCCATTCTGTTATTGGTATGATCGAAGACAAACTAAACGACTAAATAACCCAAATTGAATTGACCTAAAGCAAATGATCTGTCCTGCTACCTCTCCCCATACCTTCCCATGAATAAAATATTCCATGGATTGATGGAAACCAATGAATAAAGCCGCTCTAGTTCATCGCTTATCATATGTTATAGGGACAACCTGAGACGATATGTGAATTCATGTTATAGGGAGAGAGGGAGGCTTATGAAGTAATAGTAGAGAACGGGAAGCTCATATACAAAGCAACTCGACAGGCTGTTGATACGGTAGGAGTGCCTAAAGGTACTAAATGGATCTTCGTTTTAAGCACAACAAAAACCTTGTATGTTGCCCAGAAAATCAAAGGCAAATTTCAGCATTCAAGCTTTTTGGCTGGAGGAGCTACATTATCTGCTGGCAGATTGATTGTTGACAATGGCATTTTAGTGGTACTAACAGTTTCTTTATTTTTGGAACTATTTTTCTTTATTTTGATTTAGTTTTGAACAACAATCTGTTCAATTGTTACAGTCAGTTTGGCCTCACAGTGGTCACTACCTTCCTACAGAAGAAAACTTCCAGGCATTTATGTCGTTCCTCAAAGAGCATAATGTCGATCTCACTTGTGTCAAGGTAAGTAGAATTCCAAACCGAATTCTATCTGAACGACTCGTTTAATGCCTCTAGCTACTATTTGGAGTTATAGAGTAAAGAATAATGTACTTGCCTGATTTTGTTTTGTCAATGTAGAGCACACCACAAGAGGAAGAAGATGGAGTTGGTAGCAAAACTCCTGCATTCCGTACGAATCAATTCAGAACAGAGGAAGAAGGTACAAGTTCAAGCTGTTTAACTCAAGATGATAATCAACCAAGGCCACAGGTTTTGAAGCTTTCAGAAGTTGCCACCTCGGCCATGCTAATAAAAAGATCTCAACTTTTAGGCTCTAAGATTGCCAAGCTTCGAATTCCAAGCGTGCATGAAATGGTGGAAGAAGAGTTTAAGACACCACAACCACCACCAGAACAAAGTCCCACAAATGATGATGATGTTGAAGAAAATTTCTCAACTGACGATGGCTTTGAGACAGCAGAAGAAACGCTACTCTCAGAGCATGATTTTATGTGTCCTAAACTGAACATATTTGAGGTGTATGACGATCCTGAGTTTGAAGAGCCAATATCAGAAGCAACAATCCTCAAGAGGATCCAAAGTCACAGAAGAACCAGATCTTACCAATTGGGTGAACATTTACAATTTAAATGGACAACGGGAGCCGGACCTAGAATTGGGTGTGTGAGGGATTATCCTTCAAGGTTGCAATGCCAAGTGCTGGAGCAAGTGCAATTGTCTCCAAGGAGTAGTAATGCTACTCCTCGGAGCATGAATTATACCCCCCGAACATCATCAGGTTTACACAAAGAAACGTCTCCAAGTAAAAGTAACCTTAGTCCTGACCCCTGAACAAATCAATCAATATCCAGACGCTAACTACTAATCAGTAAAAAGTTAAAGCCATGCTGAAACTTTCTGCTTTTGACTATGAAAAGCATCAAGAACTGTGACATGTAAGTATGTTGTACGTAACCATGTATCTTTAGGCAACTCTTGTTTTGCTCTTTTTGACAATGATATTAACTATTCACCAAACAAACTAAGCAATTACTAGATACCCTTATTATTGTGAACCAGACTCGATTTAGCTATTGGTCAAGGATAGAGTACAACTTATGACATGAACAACTTTTACCTCCCCCCCCCCCCTACTAGTTACCAAACAGGCACTGGAAAATCATCATATTACTGACTCTGTTGCATGCTTGCACTGATGCGACTATAGCTTTAGATATCAATATATGGTGATGAATAAAGGTATCATGACAATAACCTAGAATGTCATACATTTTGGTACATTACATGGTCCCGAAATAGGGTACATGCTATGCTATTTAGATACAGTCAGTATGTTGAAATATAAACAAAATCAGGAAAATTCTTGCCTGTTCACCCATTCTCCCGTTGAATTTTCAAAGCAGAGGAAATATAATATACTCTGCATAAAATAGGTTCCAGATAAATCTGTAGAAATTTGTGATTGCTTCCTGCAAAATGAGGTCAAAGAATAATCAGAAATTGGAAGCTGCTTATACAAGCAAGCACCTTTCACTGGGGGATGGGGCACTGGAGTTGGGGTTGGGGGGGGGGGGGGGGGAAGAAAGAACTGCTAAACAATCATAATAGACTAAGGTTCAAAGAAGAAAACGATGTGAAGAAAGCTTGAACTTGGCATGAAACATCACACTACACTATGTTTGGATAGGAACAATGGGGGTAAAGGAAAGTGAGGGATACAAATTCCTTTTCCTTTTTCTTTCCATTTCTTGGCTTTTTTTTTTTTTTTTTTTAGTAGAATACCTTAGTTAGATAAGACATAGGGAAAAAAAATAGAGGGACCCGTTTTCCTTCCCCTTTTAATAATTCTAATTCCTCCATTGTTAAAGAGATTTGGAAGGAAAATGGAAGGCCACTCTTTCCTTCCCCTCCATTTCCCTTCACTACTTTTGAGTAATAGTGATTGATTTAGAGGTTAGCAATTAGTATGGCTCCTTCAAGGATGACTTTTGAGTGGCCATTGTACTAAATCAAATCACAACCGTTCATTTCTATTAATGGTTTACCTTTTATTTTATTTAAAAAAAAAATTGACCAAATAAAATTAAAAAAAAAATACCATCATACAATCAGTTGAATCATATTGATCATTTACGAGATTGTATAAGACAAAATCAATTAAATCGCATTGATTATATACAAGCAAATCAGGTTCAAATTGATGAAGTTATGTTTTCTATAGGTTTGATTAGATTATTATCAACCTTGTACGAAATTGGCATCTCTATGACCCAAACCAACTCGCTTCCATTAAATCCTTTGAATAAGACTATCTACAAATCGACCTAGGCCTAATTTTCAACAATCAGATTTCTCCAATTCTCCTATTTTTCCTGAATTAATCTTATACAGCCTCCCAGGCTCCCACCACCCAAAAATAACTAACGTATGCAGGGAATCTCACTCAAAACCGTAAAATTATTCACAAATTTCAATATAAAATAGGAAAATCTGTCAGAATAAACCATTTATAACAACTTTTTTGTTGGAAAAAACCTTATTATTTTGGCAAATAGAAACCAAATTGTAAATTTTTTTTGTTAAAGACAACCTGAGGTCTCTAGTCACACAATTAACCTCTAATTTTCCATTAATCCATATAATTACTAATAATTCTCACTTAAATATCTAATAATTAAGTTAATTTATAAATTAAAAAAAAAAAAAAAACAAACAAACAAAAACAAAAACCACCCCCATCACCACCAGCCAACCACCCTTTCCTTCTCCCCTTCCCGTGGTAGCAGCCCCCTCCCCATCCCCAGCCGCCTAGAACCCCCAACCCCTGTCGACCCACCTCCTCCGCCAAATCGACCCCCTCCTTTCCCCTTTACCCTCGCCGCACGCGACCATCCTCTAAACCCTAACTCGAAAATTCCCACCAATAGAGTGGTCCTAAGGCTGCGGCTGCGACCGAAGTTAGTACGGTGAGACTTGGGCGGTGGCCAGAGTGCTGATTGGTGAGTTGAATTGTTGACGGTTTGAAGCGTTTTATGATTAAATTGTGGTTGCTGATATTTGGTGAAGGAGGCAGGTTGTGATGTGTTGTTGTGAAGGGCTGGTTGAAGCAGAGGAGCTTGGCGGGCAGCAGCCAAGGTCGCGAACGTGGCAGACCGGCAATGGATTGGACGTTGGTCGCTGAGAGTGGGGGTTATATGCGGTGGCTGGGATGGGGATGGGGAGGGGGAAGGAGTGGCTGATTGGTGGTGGGACGGTGGTGCATTTTGTTTGTGTTTTATTTTTTTAATTTATATATTAATTTAATTAGTAAATACCTAAATGAGAGTAATTAGAATAAATAAGATAAATTAGTGGTTAATTAAGTGAATTAGTGTTCTTGGTTGTCTTCAACAAAAAAAATTTACAATATGGTTTCCAGTTGCCAAAAAAAAATTTATAAGGTTTTTTCCAACAAAAAAGTTGTTATAAATGGTTTTTTTCTGACAAAATTTCCTATAAAATAACCCAAGGTGAAAAAAGAATGAAGAGAACTAAAGGGAAAAAAATACCCAGTACTGAGTAAACAAAGAAGAAACTGAAAGAGAACTGATAAGAACATGGCAAATAATAATTTTTTTTCTTCAAATTTTTATATTAGTCAATAAAAATGAATGGCTGTGATTTAATTTTATAAAATGACCACAATTTTACTGTGGCCATTTGAAAACTGTCCTTCCTTCAAATACTATCATATAATGTCACATCTGGCTGGATCTCTCAGCCTTAGCCAGCAGCTGGATTCTTACTAGATGGTATTTTCATCAATATGCTTCCAACTTCCTTACCAAGATTGACCAAACATTCACATGAAACTGAAAGTGATGACTTAGCTATCACATTATGATGAAATTGATTCAAATATGGTCCATGGAAAGGGTCAGCTTTTCCTGTTGATCCAGCACATCTCAAAAAAGTGAAGCTGAGTAGTGACGGCTTTAAATGTGGTTTTCACAGGGTATAGAAGCTTTCTTAGCTTCTTTGGAGGCTTATTATCTTTCCCTTAAAAGGGATATCTTAATCAAATTGTTAGTGACTGAGAAGCAATTGTCATGGCTTTGGTTCACATCATTAGGAGAATTTGTCACCTACACTATTACATTCCATCTTATGAACTGAATTCCATCCTTGTTCTGGTCAACCATTTGTAGGAGTAACTTTAATTTTCAGTAGCAGCACAAAAATAGCAGCCAGAATTTCCATCCAAAACCTATGTTACTCAGACACTTGTCAGATGCAGATATGTATCCAAGTGTTAGACATGACCATTTTATGAAAGCTTTGACTGATTTTGGCCCAAAATGAAGTGTATTAGAGTCATACTAACGTGCAAGTGTCAAGATCTAACTTGCAAATTGAAGTGAAATTAAGGGTCAGAGTACGGTCCACACAATCAATACTGAAATTTGAAATCCTCGTGTTTACCACAAGGCCAATTTGATCTAGATTATACTTTTGAATCATTTACTCAGAAAAGTGTATGAATATCTTTAGACGGAATAGAAGAAAAGACTCAATCAGAAAACAAACAGTGATAATGATCAAATTTCCATCTCTACAATAACGCAAATCTATCAAGAAAGATCTGAAATAAGATAATAATCACAGTAATTTGGCCCTAGCATAACATTAACAAAAACATATAAAGTATTACCTTGGAGTATTTAGCTTGGTCGAGCAACCATGTCTGAAAACAAGAATAATAAAACACACAAAGAACTCACATCAGAAATAAAGATACTTGGTGAATATTTAACCCATGTTAGATGATATATCCACTTTAGCTTAAGCACACGCATCGGTATATTAATGCAGGTAGCATGACTTGACAGTTGATATTTTGATTTCAACCAACAAAATATTAAAAATCTGGCTTAAACCAACACTTGCACATGTATCTTGGACAAGTTTAGCCTAGGCCATAAAGATTCAGTTGAAATTGCTTCTGCTCATCACCAGCAACACTTGCAATCTAGCATAAATCCCACAATCCACAGGCTTTGAGGGATGACATGTCTACGAAATATTTACTAGTTCCAAACATGATATCACATTATCACGTATTTCATGAGGACTAGGCTTAACGTTAAAAATGACGATGGTATCATAACGCATTTTGCCCCTCTAACATGATAATGATTGATCAGTCATTTAAGATTTTTTCCTATCAACAGTATGAGCGCATACCTGGAAAACCAAACATATTGCCAAAATGGTGTGTGTAGGTATCATCAAGCTGCGCCTGAAGGCCTGAACAACAAGCAAACCAATCATATGGCAGGGAGTTTTCTCAGCAAAATACAACTGTCTAAAACCAAAGCCTAAACTACAAGTAAAGATATACTGTGAACATGTCAATTAAAGAACACTCACCTCGGGTAAGAAAACAGCAGCAACAATAGAACCAATATAGTTAACCAGCAATAGGCCAGAACCAAGCAGTGAAATATTTTTCACCCCCAGCTTTGTTGCCAGGGTTGATATCTGAAACCTGTAAAAGCATTATCTTACATTAATTTAAAATTTCATTGGAGAAGAACATGAGAATTATGAAAGGAAAGCATGTTACCAGTGATAGTCCCTTTGTCATACAATGGTGTATACAATTTCCATTTAAAGTTTTCCTAGATTATGTAGTGCAATTTCCATCTCATGATTTGACCAGCACATTTTAATTTCCGTTATTACATCTACAGAAATTTAAAATTTGTCCAATTTTCTCTTTTCAATATAATCAGGCCTTACTATCTCTTTCTTATAGCATCTAAATCTCATAAAATTATTCTTGTATATGCAATGACAAAGCCTAATGGAAGTACTCCCTCCGTTCTTTTATGTGCTACCCACTTTCTATTTTAGCCAGCTCTTTTAGCATGCCCGATTTACCATATTACCCGTCTTACCTCATTTTCTTACACCCATCCACCTTTTACATCATCTCTCTTAGATTTTATCCTATACATACTAACCTACTTCAAAATTTTCTCCGTGTCTACAATAGGCCGAGTAAAACATAAAAGATCAAGGGGAGTACAGTACTACATATCAATTCACCATTACATTAACCACTTCTCGCTATATGCAT